ATGCTTTTCCTATAAAAATAACCAGAGCCAACCAGAGCCTGAGTTTTAATTTGGCCTTCCTTCCTTCCTTCCTTCCTTCCTTCCTTCCTTCCTTCCTTCCTTTCTTCCTTTCTTTCTTTCTTCCCCTCTCTCTTTTCTCTCTCTTTCTCTATCTTTCTTTCCTTTTCTTTTTGTCTAGAGGGTATTTTGGAGGAGCACGGAGCTTGTCTGGTGAGGGTAGGCTCTGGGCAGTTTTTGTTTTTGTTTTGTTTCTGCCAGTTCCCCTGCCTGCCATCTTGGGGTCATTGTAGTGCCCCAAGGTCTACACCGGTTGGCTGTCCACCCACAGGAGCGGCCTCTGCAGAGCGGGCCATCTCAGACTGGGGTAGGGATCTGCCTCCACTTCTCCCACATGTGAGAAGCACATAGTGGACAGGGGGCATGAAAGCAGACGGAAGGCAGGGCATCTTCTGGTTGGGGAAACTAAGACCCCACAAGGGGCAAGGACTCACCCAAAGCAGGTCTAATCAGAGCCTGCAATCAAAGCCTACCAAAGTCCCCCAACACTTCTTTCCCCTGCAGTCCATTGCTGGTAAGCAACAGACAGGCACCAAGGAGGAAGATGAGGGCCAGGCAGGGAAAAGGGTAGTGACTGGCCAGGCCTGGCACGTAAGGTGGCCAGCTAGTGACAAATCCAGCAGGCTCTCAGAACTGGGGTGGGCTTCATGGTGCCATCTTGTTTGACCCTCCATCATTCTGGAGGCGAAATTGAGGCAAAACTGAGGCTTGAATAAGGGATTGGATGTTGCTTGGTAATTGCAGCAATCCTTGGTAAAGGCCACACCCTCCTTTACCTTTGGCTAGGGATGGGTGGGTCCAATGGGTTCACTGGGCCTTATGGAGAAGCCTGGTTCTGAGGCAGGGCCGAGGCCCATCCCTGGGCCTGGGGCAGCAATGTCTCTACCAAGGGCAGAGGACTACAATGGGGTGGCTTAGACAACAGAGCCACTCTCCTGCCCTGTGCTTGTCCCCTGGGCAGCAGGACTTGAGAGAAGAGCCTAACACATAGCTCTACGTGGGGGAAAGGTGAATACCAGAAAGTTCTGGATTAAACATCCCTTCCACTTCTGCTCCAATCAACCCTCAGAGAAGCTGAGAGAATCAATGCTGTATCCAAACCCCTGGACATGGCTCTTCCTCCCCTAGAATCCTCCAGAGGGGACAGTGTCTCATGCTGGCAAACTATGGCCACATAGAGACCAAAAGCACAGAGAGGCAGCAACGTAATTCCAAGTTGGACACTTGAGAATACAACCTCGAATGTCATTATTATTATTTTGTCCAAAACATGTCATTTGATTTTGCTGAGTGTTTTTCTTCTTTTTTGTTTTTTTTTTTTTCAACATACTTACTGCATATAAAGTCATGCAAAGAAAACGGTGCAGACAGGAGATCCCCGTGGATGAGACACAGCATTCCATATCAGAGCCAAGAAGAGGGAGAGAGAGAGAGAAAGAGAAAGGGAGGGAGAGAGGCGAGGCGAGGGAAGGAGGGCAGGAAGGCAGGCAGGCAAGTGCATTAGAGCGCACGCCAGCCTTGTTCAGCATGAAGTAGGAAAATAAGTTTCTGGTAGTCTGTTTTGTCCAAGTTAAGAGAAACAATGAGGATGGGTGGGCAGGAGGTAGTGGGGGTGGGG